AGTTCAACGGGAATATGTGTTTTGAAGGCATATTGAAGTTTGCGAATGAGTATCCTTACAATGGCACAGAAGGAGTCGAGCTTTTGAGTGGCTCAGAATGTCGCCCAAGGGTGACCCATCTGAAATATCTTTTAAACCAGCGGGTGTTCTAGAAAACTGTAGAAAGTAGAAAACAAAAAAATTAGTTGGAAAAAGAGAATATTGGGCGTTCCGATGTGTTTTTAAATTTGCAAAAGATGACGTTTGAAAGATGTTATTCTCGCTTGAATCATAAAAACCAGCTCGCGATTTACCACTACGCGTCCGTAACCCATCCAAAATATTTCGAACGGGGAAGATTCAGATTGCGAGTAGGTAGAAAACGCAACAGTAGAGACATTGCTTCAACATGCCGCCTTCCGTTTTTCAAAAACCACATCTAAAAAAACTGTCACCCCGCGATTTCCACCCGACCAACGATCTGCTACACCGCTAATTTGCCATGGAATCATAATGCGGCTACCAGCGCTTGCGAGTCTGACACTTCTCGTCAGAGCAAACAATTAGAGCTGAAAAATGGGAATCGTACCACGATCCTTTCTTTGTGGGGGGGGGGGGAGGGAGCAATTGAACTATACCGACATATCACACATGACGATGTTGTACCCTGAATGAGAACTGCTTGCCTATTTCGGGCACTCTCTTCTGCTGTGCAGCAACGCCGCTTGGTTCTGGTGCTTGCCGTGTCACCACCATGACTGGAGGCACTGCTGGGGATTGCGCGTGCCGTGACAGTTGTCTGCCGTGGAGCAATGGCGTTCGGTACTGATGCTTGCCGTGTCATCATCATGATCGGTGAGGACAGTGCTTGGGAATGCACGTGCCGTGCAATGGTATCATAATAGAGGCTGACAAGGCGCGTTGTGACTTTTCAGAGTGATAGAGCTCCCACTCTAAAATATCATTCAGCACATCACATTGGTCAGTTTTTTTTTTGTTATTCCGTACGTAGATGCTTGATGCTTTCCGTGTTGCAACCTTCCACTGGTGCTGTCGAATATGTATTATAAATGTACAGAATGAGGACATTGACTGAGGAACTCTGAAGAAGAGAAGAGGATGAGAACTTACGCACTACCTTCGCGACATAATGTTAGCCTTTTGTTATTGCGTACGTAGATGCTTGCCGTGTTGCAACCTTCAGCCAATGGTGCTGTCAAGTTTTGATGAATTTCTTGCGCAGGATACGACGGCTCTACATCTCTCAGACGTTAGGCCATGTAGCACCATGGGCAATTCCGGAGTGGCTAGTACTATACGGTATATGTTCTCGTTATCATGGTTGCGACGGTTCTTCACCCTTCTGGCAAAGTTTGCTGCGGCTTGTATCGTCTATAAAAGCTTTTCTCTTATCTATAATGTAAGTGAGCTACGAGTCAGGGTTTGCTTAAATTTTTGAGCCAAGTTTGATGAAGAACCTCTTCTGTACGGTCAAGTAGTCTCCAATTGTTGCCTTCTTCTAGTACAGCTCCTCTCCTCCCACAACTCAGTGTCTAACCCCGTGCACCCCAATTCCCAGAAGAAGAACCAACTTGATGAGAAATGGGAAGGTAAAGATGAAACCATCTTAGCCCCTTCGTCTGCCGTGCACAACGCCGCTTGATCTCGATGCGTGCCGTGTCATCACCATGATCGGTAAGATACTGAATGGTGATGCGCATGCCACGTCACTAGTAATTACAGCCTATACCTGAAAAGGTCAAGATTGTGAGAATCTTTTCTACTTCACTTCAAACATCTTCCAGAATGAGCCAACCCCATGTAACAATCTTGGGGGACGGCCCCTAGATTGACTTAAATAGGAAATCCTTCATGATGCTGAGCGTCGTGCTCATTACCGCTGCTCAAGAATAAATTGCGCATTCACTTTCAAAGCGGTTCATCACATGTACGGGGTGAATGGGATAGCTGCTGCAGTAGCGTGCCACTTTTTCAGCCCAAAGAAAGTACAACAGGAACGGTGAGTGTAGCAGAGTGTCGTCTCCCAAGTCCGCCCACGCTCTCCTCAAAGTGTGCAGTCGCGTTGATACTAAAATCCCGTAGCGAGCACGTAATCAGAGGTAGACAACAATCAGATAATAAACGGCCCGGACAAGTAGAGCGTTGAGCTATCGTCAGTCGTAGGGCAGGTGTGTGGCAGCGCGGGCTTGGTCAGCAACGTCCCCTCATTTCGGCACACTTTCCAGTGACGAAAGAGGTACACTTAGACCCTCGCACATTAACCTCGCACATGACAAGAACTGGGATATCCGGAGGCGTGTGCAGAGCGTATCTTCAAAAAAAGGCAACCAATGAATACTTCGAATGGCTCCAAGACAGGAGGACTGGCTGCCCTCCTGCGGCCATTTTTCCGTGTTTCGTGACTGTACTAACCCCATTTTCTATCAGAGAGCGGAGGGAGTGACAGAGATCATCGAGTTCTTCAAGCAGACAGTCAACATCGATCTTGATGGTGGTACTCTCAACAATTGGCGGTGGAAAGCGTAAATCTGCAGATGTGGCGGCTGTATATGAAACAACCTTTCACAGATACAGTGAGTTTCACTCATTAACTTCAAGCACCTCAAACAACGCAATAGTTGTAGTACGAGCTGTACCGATTATCACGGAATCCAGATAATGAACTGATGATTCACGAGTTTATGATTTCAGACACAGTTCAATGTTGGCTAACCGAAAACGTTCCGGGCGCTTGAGGGGCAGCCAGGTCGCAGAAGCTATGCCACTGCCCACTTGAGAATGCGTGATAAGGATTCGTTGGGGATTGTGTTTTGTTGCGGTCCACGCCCCCGCCCCCCCCCTCTCGAACAAACTGAAGAGAGCTTCACATAAAGTACTCGCTAAAGTTTGTCCGTGTCCCTCTTTCCGTGAGCATTCTCGTCCAATTATTTCATCCAAAGCGGCAGAGAGAAGAGAGGCCTACATAGGTGGTTCCCCAGAATTTTTTTGCTATCTCCTTCTGTTACAACCCACAGATCTATTTTTGTATCCTGCTTGAGCGGAATGCGCTCGAATAATGTGAGTTCCAGCGACTATCTCCGATGAACTGGCAGTATCGGCGCGAGGGTTCTGTATGTGCAGAAGTCGATTTCGTTGTTGATTGTCCATGTGAGGGCAGATGATTCTCAATCAAGAACTAAATGGCGCAATACGTATGGTGCTCGGCAATTGAGAAGCAAAGTGGTTGTTCCGCTCATTTTTGAGTAAGAGGAATAGGATACAAAGAAAGCGTATATTTTCAGTTCACTATACTCTTCTATTTTCTGTTGGTATGCCAAATTCTCTAAGTGACCGAACCGTTATCGAGGAGGAAAGCGCTCTGTACGATGACATTCTGCAATTCGATTTCGACGATACTTATCGGAATCTGACACATTGAAGGTACCCTCTTCGTACTCGTTCCTACGTTCTGATGGGACCTTCCTCTTGCTTTTGATCCATCTCCCACCTTGAGCAACCTTAGCGCGCCGTTGGGAAACCGTTGTATTGGGGTGCCGCATTTGGTCACCAGAGGAGGGTCGCTCGAGCAGTGGTTTGTGAACTGACAGCCCGCACACATACCAAGGATACCACGCATCTCCACGAAAACCTATGAACCGTTCAACACGTCACGCCTGTCTCCTCGCTTCCGGCCTGCAATGGGCGAGCATGTATGTCTTTAGTTGGCCCCTTTCAGACATCACCCTGGCAGCCAGTGCAGATTTTGGACCCCTTCGCAAAGAATAAAAAATCACAACCGATGCATGAGCCATTTAAGTGGCAAGAGGCAATAGACGATGGGCCACAATCAAAAGGAGTACAATTGGCTGATCTCTAGATCCATTCGTCAATTCCAAACAATAACTTGCGTACGAATACTGATTTCAAATAAGGTACTACGCGGCGACACTTCGCTAAACCTGTCCCAGGTTGCACTACCTCTTTTCGCCGAATAACAGCCTAAGACCTGGTGAAACCCAGCGCAAGGCTGACGGACTATAAACAGACTTACAATAAGAGAAGCTGACTTGAACATTGGTTAGCTGTGTCAAAACTCTTTAGCAGCTGGATGTTATAGCACTTGGCCGAGCTACGTTATCTGGCATCGGTCTGTGACGAAAACGTGGTGATACTCAAAATGGACGACGATGTTGGATGGGATGTTCAACGTGTTTCCGAGTTCGTGAGGAATAACCTAACTTCACACGAACTCTACTGTTCTCGGTAACTAGTTCGTGATAACCTCTTATTTGCTTCTCATGTATTAGGTCGTTGCAAAAGAAATGCAGGATTTTGCTTGCTTGTATTTCATACTTATTTTATTCCAATAATATATTACTTAATATGAAGTGTTTATATACTACATTCGGGAGCTCATCTGCACCTGCTCTTTCTAAACTGATGGCCTCGCAAAGAATTGGTTGTATATTTCATATTTTAAATAATTTTATTGACATTTTATTGCAGATGCGAAAACGTGAATTTCGCACCTATTTTCTCTATGAGGTGGTTATAGGTTCCAGCTAGGCCCGAAACGCATGCCGAATACAAGCTCGAAGAAACATACAAACGAAGTTTGGGGTCAAGGAAGTATCAACGAATCTACGGTCCAACGTTGGTTCCAGAAGTTTCGCTGTGGCAACACCAGCCTTGAAGATGAACTTCATGTTTGGTGGTCTGCCGCCGGTCTCATCCATCACAGCTTCCTGAATCCTGGTGAAACAATTACGGCAGAGAAGTACTGTCAACAAATCGACGAAATGCATCAGAAGCCTTAACGCATGTGCCCAAGGTTGGTCAATATGAAGGGACTCCACGATTCCGGACTCTTCTCCACGACAATGCCCGACCACACTTTGCACAATTTACCCTCCAGAAAATAAACGGATTGGGCTATGAAACTCTGCTCATC